TACTCCTGCAAATAAAGAGATACATGTCTTAATACAACTAAGCATAATGAATTCCCTTTGGGAAAAGCACAGCAACTCAATAATCACTCTCCTGTTTACTCAATTTTTTACTCTTCGGAGTTCATATCATTAATTCAACACCTCAAATAAGTTCAGTTTTGGCTAAGTGTTTCTGTTAATTTATTTTTAAATTTTGGTTCTTAAAGTTCTGCTGCCAACAGCAGATCACTTTCATGGAAAAAAGGACCTCGACACCAAAGAATTAATGCTGTATATGCATAACTGAAAGGACTCGAGTAAAAATAGTGTTTAGAAGTCCTTCAAACTGTCTTGTGACAATCTAGCAACAAAATCTAACCTATGTCCCAAATGAATACTTGCTACAAAGAAGGCAACTCTGCATGCAATCATTCAAATTTACGTTAGTTTGTAATTAAAACAAAAACAAGATACAATTGCAAACAAGTATACAACTTTATACAGAAGGCCTCACTGTGGTAAATTATATATAGCATAGTGTTCTCATTTTCCTTAAAGTGCTATCAACACCATATTGGTTCAAGGTCATCTATTGTTTTAGGAGGTCTTTTAGTACAGCACCAGCACTGGCATCAGGGGACACTGGCAGTGGTGTAAAAGTAGGCAAAGCATCTGAAATAGGTTTCATAAGTAGATGCCCAGAAGTAGAAGCAGGTGTTATGAGAGGCACTGCTGCAGATCGAGGTGCCAGAAATGGATTTGCATCTGGTCTTCTGCTGATTCCTGAGACTCCAGAATCTGAAATGTAAAACAAACAAAAATCTCCACTGTGTTGGAAAGTTTTTGTAAGTCTATCCAATTTTTGAGCATTTGCTCTAACACAAATTTTACAACTGCATATTACTTTCCCAATATGAAAATTTCATCTGCTTGCCATGGACTGCAGATACTCTCATAGACTTATTTCTATCTTCTCTCATCTTGAATGTTACCTGCCCCAATGCTTCTTTTGTTCAACAATTCCTGTGTCTACACTAAAAGTCACCAGTTAAAAATCATGGCACTTCCAGAACATGCCCAACCATATTGTGCTTGTTAGCATGGAATTCAGTAGAAACTCATGATATGCAATAAAATCCATACATTTTTGTGACATGGAACACAAACACCCTATGTGAAGGTTCACTTCACCTATGCAATCAAACACAAAGTATTTGTCACACTGACTACAGCACTATGCAAAGACATAAGGGTCCATACACATGCACTATCACACAGCACTCAGGTAAGGCTTCCTACCCTAGCTGTATTGGGGCAGCTGCCCCAAGGTCAGCTTCAAGAGAACTCATGTAAATAAAGATCACGGACAATGAGTCACAACTGAGTCTTGAGTCCTCAATGTCAGCACACTGGTCAAGTTATTAAAAAAAAAAATTATTTGTAGTGAATAAATTTGTTCTCAGCATAATTTCAAATTTTCTTTAATTGTTACCTGGTATTTGACTGCTGCTTGGAGTACTGCTAGTTTTACCAGTTCCTGCTGCTCCTAAAGGTTTCATATCATGAACAGAAAGCTTGGGCGGAGGAAGGCTTGGGCAAGACTCTGTTTCAAGGAATTTCACAAACAGTTCTGAAAAAGACTACAAAAAGCTACTTGTTATGAAATCTTACATGCTTTTCAAAGGAGCATCAGTAAATTAAAAATAAATAAATATATATATTTTTAAAAAGCAGCTGTCAGCAAGCTCTGAAGTACTCTGTACTGGTACTTAAATGTTCTACTTAATGAGTAACAATGTAATTTATTTTCAAAACAAAATATTTGTTGTCTCAGTGAGCAACATTTATGTAAAACTGATGAATGTTAAAGATAACACATGCACTTCCACCATGGTCCTATTATTGATTTTAGCAAATAGTTTCAAGAAACCTATGCTGCTACAGACATCTCAAGTACTTGCTGCCTGCATTATTTCAGTGGGCAAAATAAATAAGTAAAAATCCTATGCTTCAAGATAATGTAAAGGAGTTATTTCTGAACAAAACTGTCAAACTCAATGAATAACAACAAAAAAAGAAGTTAATCCAATCTGCTCAATCTCAAATGTTTAATCTTGAATGCATTATTAAATGGTCTGCAAAATGGAAAGTTCCACAGAATAACTGCTCCCATGAACCACATCATGAAAACTGTTGCTTCACAGTATTTGGAAGCTTAAACTATCAACTTCATATGCTGTACATAAGAGACACTAACAGCTAAGACTTACAAGTAAAATTTAAAGGACAGATGGAAATCACTGTCATGAAAATATGGTATTATGATCTTTTTTTTTGTATTGCAGACATTCAGACTCCCACATGTATTTAACCTCTGACACTGTCAGTTTGTCGTATCAAGTCCATACTGGAAGAAGTCAGTGGTTCCAGCAGCCAGTGGAACAGTAAGTAGTTTTGTACTAGCCCAACACTTACAATTATGCAATTGTCTTCAATACCTATACATTTATTTAGTCAGAAGGGAACAATTCCTGTGAGCACATCCCCAAAACAAAATATACCAGAACAGCTGCACAGAACATATAAATAATGTAAGATAAAGTAGAATTGAAAAATTGAGCTCAATATACTTATGAACCAAACATAAACACTAATATGCAACTGTTCCAGTTCTTCCACTCAAAATACATGATTAATTCTTACACTATTAAAACCAGTCTGGTGAGTTGGTCGTAAAGGTGTGCTCGGGACACTCTTTGATCCTGTTCCTCCACCAAGCCAGCCCGTCACCCATCTTGTAACTCCTCTTTGGTCTTCACAGAGTAACTATAAGGTTTAAAAAAAAGTTAGGAAGCAAAATAAAGCAGCAGATGAAAAACCTGCACCACTGTGCTCACTGTATCACTGTAAGTCATGTGGGAATTCCACAAAATCCACAAACAGGTAACTTTAATTGCTACCAACTATAACTGCCAGGACAATCACATTTATTTTACCATCAAGTCATTCTATTTTCAGATACTGCAAATGAATTAGAATCATAGAATTACCTGATCAAGTTCCTCCTTTTTCATACCCAAGATACTTCCCATTAACCTTAACACTTCATTACGTTTATTTTTTGGAGTATGAAAATGTCCAATGAAGAGATTCCTCATCAGGAGCCTGCAGAACAAAGACTGTTACACTGTCTGCTCCTAGATAACAGGTGACAGGGAAATTCCAACACATTTATTCCTTATACTTTTGCCTAACCAACAATAACTCAAATAAACAATCCAGTAAAGGAACTAAAAGGGAATGCCATGAATTTCCTTCCCCTCTAAGTTAAAACACTTCTTAAACAATGAGCTGCGATTTGGACAGTATTGTAAGTATTGTATGCAGTAACATGAAACTGAATTGTACGTTACCAACTTTTGATGCAAGTGACACAATGCAGGAAAATATTATTACCAGATCTTGACCCAAGAGAATCTTTAAACTGTCCCAAACCTAAGGAATGAGCAGGGGAATCCATTTGCCTATTCTGGTTTCAGTTCTAACACAGAGAGAGATTATGATGATGACTCAGAAAGAGATCAAATCTGAACAGCAGCCAGCTGATGCCATTCAAACCTAAGATGCATTATAAAAATTGATCACTAAGAACTTTTTTCCCCCATTTTCATAACTCACACTAGTGAAGTGTAATACTACTTAAACATATAATCCAAATTTTGATACACATTGGTTTTAATCAATTCTAACATTTACAATCACTAATTGTGATTGTGAGAAATGTCACAATAATCAAAGCATAATTTCAAGATTACGTAGAGAAGCTCAGTTCTGCACTACTCTTGCAACTCTTAGTAACACACCTGTTCATTGCAAAGAAGAATAAAGAACAAAGATGTACACCAATATAATGACTTACTTGTCCACTTTTCCTTCTGTGCTGTTGATGAGATTCATCAGTTTATTTTGTACATCTTCTAACATTTCTCTTCTGATCTCACCTATAAAACGTTATATCAAAGCAAATAAAAATCCCAGACTTTGTTTCAAAGTGTTATTAGTAATATATGTCTTTTAAAATAAAGACAAGCTAATATATATATATATATATATATATATATTTATTTAGAACAGTATCAGCACAATTTCTTATAAAAAGTGTCAACTTAGTGATTATTACTTGAATTCATAAGCTAGAATTTTCAGAACAACACTTAAAGCTAAAGTACAGAAACACAGGATGTCAGAGAACTGCTGAAGATCTGATGAACTGCTCAGTTCCATCTGGATTGTACAGAACTGGAAAGAAGTTCTTTATTATGTTCTCATCAGGTCTTTGGAGCTCAATATATTTAAATAATATTCACTCTCGTCCATTAATTACATAGCATAGATTTTGCTACAATTCTAAAATTTCAGCAAATTATTTGTTAACTTAAATTCAGAATACACCTGATTACCCCATCCAGGAGCTCTGGCTTACTCTGATCTTTCACAAGTTAAAGCTCACCACCATAAAGAAAAAGAATTTCCAGAAGGTTTTACCAGCTAAAATACTTTAATATCCTTCTGACTAAGGATACAAGGACACAGTGACAAAAAAACTCATATCCCCAAATACATGACACTTGCATCAAATTACAAACACTAACAAACTGTTTTCTGAGAAGAAAACAAACAGCTACAAGATACAAAGAATTAACTGAAGGTAAGTTTAAGAACAGCAAAAACAGAATTTGTCACCAAACCTTGGTTCTGCCAGATGCTATGTTTAAATTTATTTTTTTCCTAATAAAAGCACAAGTCTTAATAGCACACACAAGCCAAACAACATAATATAGATCCTCAATATAAAGACAATTGCTACCCTGAAGTTACAGAAGAGTTTTTTCTCCCCTCTCTCTGTAAGGCTGAATTCTTCAGATGTTTTCAAACTCTATGGAAAAACTCCCAACCAACATAAACTTCCTATTATTTTAATATTTCTTGAGCTCATGTTAATTTATTTTTTTTTGGGGGGGGTAAGTATTTGTAGGAATGACTCGGTATCTTGAAATCCTTTGAAATAATCACATTTCTCTTGTGTGAAGATGGAAATGAGGGAAGAAGAAAAAGTGACTTGTAGGAAGTTTTATAATTTCTGAATCATTTGAGATGCATAAAAATTTTCCATTCTGGTTTCCATGTGACTTTCAGTCTTTAATAAATGCATGTCACTACATGGTTCTCTATTTAACAGCAGTACCTCCCTGAGAACCTGTGAGAGTTCTGGTGCATCTACACAGAGAGCTAGGCTGTGACATGTGTCCTGTTCAAATACTCCACAACTTTTCATAAATACTTCCCCAGTATGACTTTTGGAAGGTAAAGAGTAGAACAAACTAATTAGTGTCATGCTGGGAACATTGCTTAAAATTATGCTTCTTTGCAAGCGCGGTTAAACAGGACCCCCAAATTTGAATGAAACTGCAGGTGAACCATGGAAGCTGAGTGGTTATTTAGGTTTCCACAGAATAAAAGAATTTTAAAATGTTAAACTACCAATTTTGATTAAAAAAAGAGAAACAACATCTGAAAATAGGGTTTGTTTCAAGATGTTGAAAGATGTTTTGCTCTAATTGGCGAGATACCAGCAAGCTTCCTTCTTACCTTATTAAAACAAACCAATTAACAGTTTTTGAAGTGAAATGTTACTTCTGTTTTCTATTTTTTCCTGAGAAAATTGTTATATCAGAGAATCAACTTTTAAGGACAGCTACATGGCTACATTCATTCACGGTGATTACAGCTCTACCCTTGGACATGTTTTTAAATGGAATATTTCCTTCTAAAATGGAACCTTATAGTTGAAAAGGATTTAAGCATGTACTCCGTGTGCATGAAAAGACTGAATAATAAAGAAGACCTGAGCCAAAATTCAGCATGGACTGCTGTAAACCAGACATTTACAGCAGTCTCTAATAATTTGTTAACCATTTATGGCAATCCCAAAAACTGCATCTGGTACATCTTATACTTTTCCATTAAAATCACTTCTCCTGCCAAAAAAAATCCATAAAGAAATCCATCAAAGGATTTGGCCAACAAAACCATGTCTGGGAATGTATTTGGCTAGTTTTCAATAAGACATTATATGTTTTCTTGTATAAACAGAAAAAATGGAATGGTCTCTTTTTCAGTAAAAATAATGATTTATTCTACAACAATATTGAAGTGCTTCTTCCGTTACAAAACAATTTCTTTCAATTTTAAACAAGTAAATTGCTTGCCACTACGGCCGGTTTGATAAAACACTGAGGCCCAGTTTTCTCTCACAGTTCAAATCCATTAACACATTATTCCTTACGCTTTCAGGAAGCTTAGCTATCAAATTAACCAGTAGCACAAGAGCTCTCCAAATAATAGCGCCAAATTTGCCTATGTTAAAGCTATTTTCAATCCAGAGTCTTTGAACATTTCCACTGTGATGACTCTTGTAAGAGAGAGAGAATAAAGAACAGCCGATTAAAAACAAAATCTACTCAATTAATAGTAGACTGATGCAGAGTGAAACTTGATTCAGTTTGTAAAGTTCATATGTGAACTCAAAACAATACTATGGTGCCCACTGGGACATCAAACTGCACTTACGGATAAAATACATTCATATAATGTGTAGTTATGAAAAAGCTGCAGCTTTTTTGAGTTCCTTCTGAAAACGCAAGGGCTTTTTAATGGCTATTCACACTAATTGTAAGATCACAAGCAAGTCTACTTTAAGAAAATATTTTATATTCCAAGAGGAAAACAAATCACAATTTAAGAATGAATAGCAAAAATTAGTTCAATATGGTCAGAGCTAAAAGAGTTACCACTGCATTCAGCAGAGGTGATTTTGCAAGCACCTTCCTATAGCAACCCTTCACTAAAAGACCTCACCCCCAGATTTCCCACAGATATTAAGGGGGGGAAAAAAATCAGAAGGTCTGAGACTGCAGAATGTGAGCAAGTCTCTGCCCTTCAAACTCTCCTTTGAGAGCCCCCTTGGAGGGCTCCTCTTGCTGCATATTTATCGCACATATACACCTGAAAGTCAGACTGCAACAAAGGATGTGGCAGTAACAGCAAAATATGGTAACCCACAGAAAAAGAAGGAAAGAAAAAGCAGAACTCAGTTGGAAAACAGAAGAGAAAAAGACAAATAACACAAATAACAGTGATTGAAGAAAAAGATGTTAATACCCCCTCAATAGTTGGTACTGTTAAACACTCATGTGAGAACCGTCACACAGCTAGACAGACCATTTCCCCTTGTGGCTCAAGGAAACACTGAAGAAAAAATTACATGCCAGGGCTGAGATTTAAGGACAGAAATCCAACAAAATTACTATTAGTTCTAAGTTCTGCTTTACTTAATGATACAACTCCTTTCTCATGAAAGCTGATATTAATGAAGAAAGAACACCACAGTGATCTTATGTTATTCATATAGTTATTGCATCATCTCTAATCGAGTCTGAGCTTGTAAAATCTTACTGATGTCTGGCATTCAAATACATTACACAGAAACCACTTAGTTTTTTCTATTTGATTAAAGTTTGAGACCATAAAGCAGAAATTCATAAAAATGGTACTAGTTTTTCCTACACTGTATTCTGCCTGTTTAGTCTTTCTTATACAGCTTTAATGCTAGAAGTGCTTACAAAGAGAAGGCTATGTACCTACCACAGATTTTACATTCCAGTGAAGAGAGAAAATACCCATCTCCATGCCATTCACAGACACAGAATCATTTATGTTGGAAGGGACCTCCTTAGGTTACCCAGTCCAACCCCCTCAGTTCAAGAAGGCTCAGCTAGAGCAGGGTGTCCTGAACTGTGTGCAGACAGGTTCTGAGTATCTCCATGGATGGACAAACCTCTCTGAGCAAACTATTCTTTTCACCACACTCACTGTAAATACTCCTCCTTTTCAAAATCGTTTCTCCAGGCAAACTCTTCTTTAGCCAATTTTTGTCTTCAAATCCAAAGTAACAAAGGTTGTAAAATGTCAAAGTATTTAATCAGAGAACAGTATGAAAAGCATATTTCTAAACAAGAGCAATCCAGAAGCTCATCTGAAAGGAGATAAAAAAATTCAAACTAAAGACAATCATAAGGCCTTTTGCATAATTTCTCTAGTCTTATTCCTGTACAAGAGCAGTTCCCTCTACATCTCTTACCAATAGCATATCCTTCACCTCACAGCGACTTTGTCTGTGAAATATGGTAGTTAATTTGAAAAAAATGTGACAGCATCTGGTATTTCACAAACTTTTTAAGAGACAGAACTAAAGCTGATTCAAGGGCTTTGGTATCTAAAGAAGAAAAAAAAAGAATAACTTGAAGGCATTTCTTAGAGAAAGACAGCTAACAGAAGGTACACGTAATTTTAAAAATGTTTAGTAATTTAGAAATATTTAATTGGTGAAAATTATCTTACCTTCTCTTTTAAGCTCTTCAATCTGCTCCTCTTTAACATCAAGTTGCTCAGTAAGCCTTGATGCTGCATCCAGTGCAGCATTCGCCTCTTCTAAATTTTCCTACAGAGAAGGTAGGAAAAGGACAAAAAGGGAAGCACAAGAGTTCACTTACAATTATGCTAATACAACACAGATCAAACATAGCAAAAATCTGTACTTTATAATAACTTGGTTGGAAACATTCCCAGCATGCTATGTTGCTGGCCTTTCAGTCCCAGCATTGCCCCATCCATGACATGAATAAGAAAGAAGAATTATCTAACTTGATCTAGAATCACAGAATCCTTAGAGATGGAAGGGACTTTGAAGGCTATCTAGTCCAAGTCCCCTGCAATGAACAGCAACACTATAGCTAAATCAGTCTGCCCAGAGCCCAACCCAGCCTCACCGTGAAAGTTTCCAAGGATGATGCATCAAGCACACCACTGGGCAATCTGTTCCAGTGCCTCACCACCCTCACTGTAAAAATTTTTTTCCTTATATCTAACCTGAATCTACCCTCTTTGAGCTTGAAACCACTTCCCCTTTTTCTATCACCACCAACCCTGCTAAAGAGTCTGCCCCCTTCTTTCCTGTAGCTCCCCTTTAGATGCTGAAAGGCTGCTATCAGGTCACCCCGCAGCCTTCTCTCCTCCAGACTGAAGAGCCCCAGCTCTCTCAATCTGTACTTACACAGGCTACTCTTATACAGTAACAGACAATTAACACTTCACACAGCAGTTAAAGGAAAAAAAAAAAAATCTACCAGTAATTAGCATGGAACTTCATTGGGTTCAACTTCATTATTCAGTCTACCTGTAGCGAAGCAACTTTTTCTTCTAAGTTTTGGGCTTTTTTTTTCCATTCTGCAGTCTCTTTTTGGTGTTTTTCCAGCTCTGCTGAATACATGGCTTTTTCTTCTAATGAGTTAAAAATACAAAAAGAAAAAAAGTATTCATATACATAATTCTCTTTTTTGAGATACACAATTGCAAAATCTCAGCATTATCACATCTGGCATTCGTGAGGTAGAATTCTAATTTCTTAAGTCATATAATGGCCACCAGTTTCCACATCTCTTAAAAGATGAAAGATTTTAAAATTCAAGCTATCAAAATGAAAATCAAGTAACCATGTATTTCAAAAGCACCAAAATATGGTAGTTATCACATTTGAAGAATGCTTGTTGTGACTGATATTTCTCGACAAAACTTACCCTGTTGGAATTGCTCTAGTACCATCTGCAGGTTGGTCAGTGACAATGCATACTGTTTCACTTGGTCCTGTGAGATGGCAAGCTGTAGCACTGTTTCATCTCTCTGCTTGGAAACCAGGTTTAATTGATCTTGCAAGGATTCAACCTGCAGATTAGCTTGATGACTTAAATGAGCATGAAATAAATTATTTAAGACAACGAAAAAAAATCATCACAGAGAAAATTAAACTACAACAAAATGAAGACATTCCCTTCCCATCCCCTGAATTCCTCTTAAAAACAAACAAAAAAAATCTCCTAACAACACATTTTAAATAAGCCTGCTAATACCATTTTTGCAAGAACTTTTGTTTGAAGTGCCCTGCTTCAATTACTAAATGAATCAACAAGCCCTTCTAACAACTCTTAGCGTTAAAGGCAATCACAAATAACTTGGTACAGCCAGCTCCATACTGACCACTGAGTATCCATTTAATTTCCCATTATACAGAAATTTTATGAACCTGATAACCGAGGCGCCCCCTAACATAGGCTCCTATCAGGTACAAAAATAGGCTGTACTTCTTGAAAGACATTTGACACGTTCCTGCAAAAAACTAAAAAATATTCTACCAGTTTTTACACAGCCTTCTCTCAACTCTTCAAACTTCTGACTGGTTTCCGCAACAAATTCTGCTCAACTCAGAAATCTCTTTGCTGAGAATGTTACGAGCAAACTTTATCTTTGACATTTAAGGAAGTAGAAAAGACTGCAGCTACATATATATTTTTTGATTAATACTCTTGTTCTTCTGGGCAACTGCAGTGAAATGAAATCTTTTGCTTGAAGTAACAAACATGCCTATATTAAAGACAAGCCTTGAGTAATTTTCATTTTCTGATTTTCATTATTCTGAATGAAAACTGTAACTATAATTAAAAAAATATATAAATGCTTACAGCTCTGTACACCCTTCTACGCTAACGTATGAAGATGTGCACTCATCTTGAAACCAATATGAGTATCACAAGCACACCTGTTTTGAACTGTGTTCTTTTCAAGTGAATGAAACCTTGATTTTAAAGGCAATTAAGAATCTTTCACCCTGCCACATGCAATTAAATTGATGGGTTGAGGAATTGTCTTTGTTTCCAGTTCTAATCAGTCAAAGATCTGAGATATTTATAGCTAGCAAAAGGACAAAATTTAGTTCATTACAGTTGTCAAGGTTATTTCATATTGCCTCTCTGATTCAGGATAACACTAATTAATATATTTTTTTTGTTTTCTCAAGCACCTAGCACACTTCAGAATGCTAATTCAATAAAATGAAGTCATCAATATCCTCCAGCTAAGTGTAATATTCATAGACAATGGCATTGCTGGATAAATGAAAAGATTACCTGGCATTCTCCACTGCAGTAGAGGAAGACACGAGTTTTTCTTCCAAAACTGAAACTTTTTTTCTTAGCTTGGTCTCTCTGTCTTCTGCAGCCAAGGCTTCTCGTGTATAGGAGTCCTCCATTTCTATAAGGTGGTTACGCAGCCTCTCCAGTTCCTGATTTAGGCGCTGCTCTTTCTCATGCAAATGCTGTATCTGTGTAGAACACACCTTAAGTTGCTTGTATTATCAGCTTTCATAGAGGAAAGTAAGCAAAGAAAACGTAAAGCATAGTGCTTGTGTAATGATTTTGAGTGTTTTTACAAGTTATTACTAACAATTATGCAGAAAATATTATAGATGCAATTTCTTATTCTTCATTTCTTGCAACTATAAGTTATGTGGTAGCATACCTCATTCTGTAGGGCACTGCTCTCCATTTGCTTCTGTTTGAGTGCAACCATAACTTGGTCTCTCTCTTGCTGAAAAATAGCAGCCTTTTCCTGCATCGATTTAACCTCATTGAGCAGTTGATTCAATTCCCCCGTTTTGCCCTGCGGAAGACATAAAAAAGCTTTTCAAACACAGCAGTTATACTAAAGGAAATTAGCCTTGATAAATGTAAAGACAATAATAACGTAACAAGAAAATGGGCAAGACACACATGGCCCTTCAGCACAGGAACACTTTCAGGGAAAACATTATTCTGAAGTTTTTCCACTCATCACTAAAAGACAAAATACAAGTTATTCCTAAAGGACACTACGCACCCGCTGTTTTAATTAACTGCTGTTGAGTAGATACCCTTTAAAGAAACTTTTTGTTTCTTTAAAAAAGATTCTCACTCATTAATTACTTCCACAGTAATTAATAAGCTACTGCAACCTTTCTCTGAAAATATACTGAGAAAAAAGTATCTACTTTTCCATATGTCAAATTGTGAGGAGAAACCTTTTTTTTTTTTTCCTCCAGTGCAGCTTCTCCAGCTATAAAAAGATGTGTGAAGTCATTTATCTCCTAGAGATGCTGTGAAGCAACCACACTGGAGTGACTGACACTCGAAGGAAGAACATTGAGAAATTAGTTCTCCTTGCCACCTCTGCAAATTTTATAAAATAAAAACAACATAGGGTAGTGAATGCAGAATAGGCAAAACCAAAACACTGAGCAGCTCTTCATTAAATATTTTCCAAATGAATGAAAAACGTGGTTTATGGATATAAAATTAACAGTTAAAATTGCAAGCCATTCATCCATTGATTTTTCATTTTTTACTCCGTAATACGATGCGGTGAGGAGTCACCAATTTCAGGCAAACACACGATGTGTACATGTACATGAAAATACATTACCATGCCACTTATTTCAAAAGATAATAAACATGAACGTACATACCTGTTCTTTCTCTTTCAATAGCTTCTCAAAAGCAAGAGCTTTTTCCTTCATTGAGTGGGACTCAAACTCTTTCTCTTTCAGCATCATTGAAAATTGCATATTAGTTTCCTGAAGTGCTCGGAATTCTGTTTCTTTTTCTCTACACCTTACAACTATTTTTTCATTTTCTTCTTTCAGTTTTCGAATATCCATTTCTAATATTAAATTCCTTTCTTTGAGATTAGTCACAGCTTGTTTTAAAAGTTCATTTTCATTTTCTTTGTTACTAAGATTTTCACTCACAGAAAGTAACTGATCACTTTTTGATTTAATCAGTATGTCTTTTTCTCTAAGAGATTTCTGTAAGACATCATGTTTTTCTCTTATCTGCCTCATCTCTGAATCAGTCTCTTCTTGACTCCTCCTTTCAAACTCTGATGCTGTAGCCACAGAATCGGATAATCGTTGATTGTTTTCCTGAAGAGTCCTAATAGTTGAATCTTTTTCTTGCAGCTTTTTTTTCAGCTGTTCCAATTCCTTCTGAAGGAGTTTAGATTCATCACTGAGTACTTCAGGAGTGCTGCTTTGCACGACTGAAGGCTGTGAAATGATGGAAGCCATTGTCACAGATGGTGTTACCAAATCAAGTTTACCCAGGAGAAGATCTTTGGTATTATGAAGCTGTCCTATGGTGTGCTGAACTTGTGCTAATTCTTGACTAAAACTTCTTAATTTTTTCTCATTTTGTTCATAACTCTGAATCAAGCCATTATAATCTACCTGCAATTTTGAATTGCTATCACTTTCAACTGAAATCTGTGCTTGAAGCTTTTGTAGCTCTTCTTGGAGATGAGCTGACTCATGCTGCATGTTCTGAACTGTGGTTATTACCTGCTGCTTCCACTCTTCCATCTTCTTTACTTGCTGTTTTAATTTATCACGTTCTTGTAAAAGTTCCTCAAACTGGTTACTGTTAACACCTCCTGAGCCATTATCAGTACCCGTACTGGATGTCTGCAAGACAGTCAATAAAGTTTGGCATTTCTGACTTAGAGCATCTATTTCAATATCTTTTTCTCGAATGATACGGGATAAATTTTGAATAGTTTCTCTAAACATATCTTGACTGCTATTTTCAAATCTATTAGATAATTTTTGGTTCTCTTCTTGCAACCTTACCAAAGCTGCTTCTTTAGCAGCCACCATATCCATGATCTTATGGTACTCTGTTTTTAACTGACTGTTCTCTCTTGTCTTTTCACTTAGAACTGCTAGTACTTGTTCTCTTTCCATGACATAAGCTTGTAGCTGCTGCTGAAGACCAAGGACATCCTGCCGATAGGAAGCTGAGGAAACTCTAGCACTGAGAGCTTGTATTTCTAAGTCTTTCTCTTGAATGATTCGAGTAAGTTTGCCAACTTCATCTTTAGACAACTGATCGATTTGTTGACTTAGGGAAAAATTCTTTTCATTTAGAAGCTTAATCTCCATCTCCCTTTCCTTGATACCTTTTACTAGCCTTTCAATTTCAGCTTTCGATAAGTCATGTTTTTCATTCCCATTTTCTCCATTAAGTGTCTGAACTTTTGTTTCCTGAAAAAGATCAGTGGAATCAGTCTGAATAACCTGTCTCTCTTTGTGCAACTGAGTTTTAATTTGCTCAATTGTTTTCTGCAAATTTTTAATTTCCTCATCTTTCTCTAAAGAAAGTCTTTCATGTGTAACATTCATTTGTTCACACTGAAATTTAGACTCATCTATTTCCTTTCTTTGCTCCTGCAAGGACTGCTGAAGTTGTACTGTTTTTTGATTCTGGTCTTCTATTGTTTTTTTGTGAACTTCTATTTCTTCTTCAAGATTATTCTTTATCACTTTCAATTGTGTCACTTCACTTTCAAGTTCAATAATAATATCTAGAGTTTTAGGCTCAACCACAGGAGTTGCTCGACTTTGCTGATCCTTAAAACGTTCAATTTCTTCCTTCAAATGATTGTTTTCTTCCTTCATTATAGCAAGACTTTTGTCTTTCTCCTCTAAGTTCTGTTTTAAGACATCCTGCTTTCTTGAAACTTCCCTATGTTCCTCAAGTTCCTGCTTCACCTGCGAGGCTTGATTTTTAAGTCTTTCAATAAATTCCTCCTTTTCTTTTATAAGTTCAGTCAACTGCTTTTGTCCCCCTAAGCTAGTAGTTAACATCTCTTTTGTTTCTTGATGGTCAACTTCCATCTGCTCCATGCCCCTTTTGAGTTCCGCAATCTTAAAATCTTTCTCCTGATTGAGTTTAACCAGGCGCTCATGTTCAAGCTGCAACGCAGTGGTATCCATACTACGGGCATTTGATAGCTCCTCAATAGTTTGCTCATACTTGTGTGCTTGTTCAAAAAGTTGTTTTTCAGCCTGGCTTAATTCTGTTTCTAAATGCCTTTTTTCCAATTTCAAAGCTTCCACAACTGTGTCTTTCTCTAAGCAAACTTTATTCTTCTCAGAAATTGTATCATTTAACTCCTGTTTTAGTTCTTCAAAGGCTGCTACTAGCTTTCCATTTTCTGTTTTGAGATCAGACAGAGATTTCTCTAAGTCTTCATTTAGTTGCTTATTTTCCAGTTGTTTATTCTGTAATTTCACAATTTCTGCTTCTTTTTCTTTCAGAATCAGATCTTGACTACTGTGGCTAGATGCCTGCTCAATATTTTCTGTTAATTTGCTCAAGGACAGAGAAAGTTCCTCCTCTCTTTCTTTCAGTCTTTGTTGCAATTCTCTAATTTCTATTTTATTATGCAAGTTACAGTCCTGGGCCTTCTTCAACTGCTCCTGAAGGTTTCTAACGTTATCTTGAAGTTGTTGCTTACTTATATGCAAATCATTAAGTGCATACGAGCATTGACTTAGTTTCTCTTTCTGAGTATCTAACTCCTTAATAGTTTCCATCTTCTCCATTTCTAATTTTGCTACTTTCTTTCTTTCAACATCTATGTCAAATTTCAGCTGTTTGGTGATGCCATCAGTTTCTATGTGTTGTCTTGACAGCTTCTCTTTCAGTGTAATCATATGCTGAAATGAAGATAAACAAGAATTTGTTAGAAAAGAAGGAGAATCAGCAGAAGTATGTATTTGATTTTCATCCTCTGAACAATTAAAAATTTGCCTGAAAACAAAAATGTTTTCTACTTAAAAAAACTGAGCTAACAAGTAGTATCAAGTAGTCAACGCTAAATGACTAATTGTTATTTACACAGGAGAAGAGGCTGACTGTCACCTCGCTACAACCACCTTTCAGGGAGTTGTAGAGAACAGTAAGGTCTCCCCTGAGCCTTCTCTACTCCAGACTGAACAATCTCTGTTCCCTCAGCTTCTCCTCCTAAGAGTTGGGCTCCAGGCCCCTTCGCAGCTTTGCTGCCCTTCTCTGGACATGCGCCAAGGCCTTGATGTGTTTCTTGTACAGAGAGGCCTAAAATTAAACACAGTTCTGAAGATGCAGCCCCTCAGATGATGACTGGTCTTAATGGTCAGCATAACAAGAAGTGACGTAAAAGTATAATTTTAATTTCATTATATATAACATGACCTTGGCTCCACAAACATCCATATTATGAAGAAGTTGTGATACAGCAGATTAACTGGTCAACAAAATGAAAAACAATGGAAGGAAGACGAAAAGCTTTTAAAAACCATTCATCTTAATTAAACTGTCATAAGAAAGAATTAAAGTATTAATAGGATAAAAACCTCTGAACTACATACAAACAAAAATGTGGTGTTTATCTGGACTTTAGAAAGTAATATGCATTATGGGCAGCAGATGTGTCATATTTCTTTGTCTGCAACAAGCAAGTTTCTTACACTTTAGGATTTCACATCAAGATGGTGAAACACTGGCCCCAATATCCCCATTTGTTTATTTGCCCCAGGGATAACTTATCTACATACAAAGATCATCTTAAAAGATAAACACACACAAATATAAACATACATTTTTGAAATTCAACAAATAATTTGAATGTTTGTTACCTGAGTAGCTTCTTGATTCTGCTTGTCTAGTTCTTCCAATTCTGCTATTAATGTTTCTCTTTCAGCAATACTTTCATTTAATTCATGTTCTTTCCTTTCCAAATCTTGCTTTAACTGTCTTAACTCTGAATTCTGATCCTCAGTATATGCAGAAATAATATTCTCATTTTTACATTGTGCATTTAGAAGTTCCTTCTCAAGTTCCTCCTTAAGTCAAACAAACAAATCTACGTATTAGCCTCTCTTGACGAAACTTGTACTGTCCCACTGTAAAATGCCTTCTTTTACTCAAAAACAAAAGCAGAGCACACATTTTTATGTTAACATCTCTGAGTCTATAGGAACATTATCCCAATTAGAAATTCTTTATTATGAAGTATTCATCTTTAACATTCATACATACACTTTTTTTTTTCATGATTACTTCTTTCATGATGCTTGTTAGTGTACTTTACAAACTTCTTCATAAAAAGTCATGGCCTGACAATCACAGTTACATCCACCACTGAAGTATGGATCCATAGCTGGGATAAACTATTACATCTTCCAGAGACATTTTAAACATACAGAATGCACAGCAAGAAAGGAGTCAAGGGCAATGAAAAACGTCCTTACAAAAACTGCTATGGGAAGTCTTTAATTGATGCAACATACAAAAGATCCTACTTGAAAAAATTTCTGGATACAAAATAAACTAAGTCATATCTCTCAAGAGTGAATTTATAAAGGACTTGCTGGAATGTTGAAAAAAAATTAAAAAGATACATTAACTTCATCAGTAAGATAAAATGTGATGTTAGAGCACTACATGGAAGAAAAAGCTATTTTAGAACAACGCTGTCAAAACTATTCTGAATATATCAATATATCAATATATATCACTGAATATATCAATATATATCACTGTGTAGAAAAAATATGTAAACAATACAGATCAGAAATCTAACATACATACCTTTTCATTCCTAAGTTTAAGATTTTCTTCTTTAAGAACTTGGAGATCTAATGTAAATGCCTGAACATCTTCTGCCATATAAACAGGATTGTCAGCCTACAAAAACAGTAGTGAAATACTTAAGGTAAGAATCCAGAGCATTTAAAAACCATCATCTGTATTAACTCTTTACCAATAAATATCAGTGGAGGAACATGGAAGAATAAAAACCTGATATGAATACAGTTTTATATTGTCTAAAGTACTTTTTTTCCAGTAATTTAAAGGGAAGTTTATGTACAACACTTTAAGAACATATATTACAGTAGCCTAAGTAAAACGGCCTAAGTGGAACTGTACTTGTTTTCTTCAAGAGAGTACACTGTGGAGTATAACAAAGTGGAATGTATTGCTCCCTTGACTTCCACATGTAATTATAAAAACAATTTAAAACTATTTCCTTGACTACAAGGTTATTTATACACAGTGTGAATGCTGCAAGAATGGATACTACTAAGAACAGGTATTTTCCACAAGTTACTGTTGTTGCTGCTTTTTGTTAGCTTAATTCAGAAATTGCCTTACCTGACTTAAACTTGAAAGCCTTGCTATTTCTCTTTCTGCTTCTATAATGGAAAAAAAAACATACTTTTACTACTTCCAAAAAAAAAAAAAAAAAAAAAATCAAACCAAATCATCCTCCTACCTTGCCCAGCAGAATTCTACTCTAAGAAAATCATAGCATCTCATATAGCATTTCATAGCATTGTAATGAGATACTTTTTTTTTTTTTTTAAAAAAGGAATGAAAGGCACAAATTAGAAAGTAAAAGTTCCCTTTTACAACTGAATGCACAGAAGGCCAAATTTGATACCATGTTGTATCACAGAAAAAGTGTACTTTTACAATAAAACTTCTATCCAGGCTTATTTCAAAGGAAAAATCCTATTGAACAGTTGACACACAGTTGATACACTACTGGTATCAGAACTTCTACATTTATCATTCCAGGCCTAACTACATTCTCTGCTCTTATCTCAGTGAATAATCCTTATTTAAAGCAGCAGCTTTTAAAGTACCTAACAGTGCTTGTTGCAGACTGACAACATCTTCTGGTAGCGGTGTCTTGGATTGAGACTTCTGTTCTTTCAAGAGAGCACCTTGCTCTGCAACAGAACTTTGAAGCATACTGAAGTCAGATTTTAGACTTTCAAGTTCCTGGGTTAGTTGGATTTTTTCTACCTTTAACAGTTCTTGCTCTTTCAGAAGAATTTTGTTTTCTTCTTTGGTAGAAGATAACTTCTGATTTAATTTTCTTATTTCATCCTCTAGGTCCTTTATCATTTGCAAGTTGTCCGCTTTCCCTCCTTCTAGATTCTGAGCGGTCTTTTCCTGTTCACTAATTTTAGAATCAACCATGGCATCAGTACTTACACCATCTAAAAAGCAAAACAGATCGAGTTTGCAATACTAACCAAAGCCAGCACGCTAGATCTTTTGTTTAAAAGTCTCTTTCATCCCTTCTCCTGACAGAAGGATAATCTAAAACAAAAACATGTCAATCAACAGAAAACTAAAGTAAACAGAATCAAGTTGAAGCACTGTTGTGCATATGACTGATTTGATAAACAGTTTTTCAAATACTTGGATCTCCTTGGCTCTAATGAGTTTTAAAAAGTGTTGCAAGACACACATTGTTCAAGATTTCATTAACACATCATTCTTGACCAGGAATAGTGGGAAAAATGAAAGAAGCCAATTTATCAAGACACAATCTGTCTGTTTTCTAAGATTAATGTATCAAAACTCATCCAATTCAGTCTCATGCAAAAAAACTGTTTATAACTTAATGTTGAAGAGTTGCTGAATGGCTCTCACAGAGTACAATACTTCGTACATGCAACACATTTTTGCTAGTAAATCTTAATGACAGAATTACATTTCGTGAGTTTATAAGTGGCTGCAAAAAGTATAAATTACTTGATAACCTCATTTGCCAAATGGTGCGCCAAGTTTTTCATCTAAAGACCTCATTTTCCAGACATGTTTTTACAGATCCACATATTAGTACTACATAGTTCTGCATAATCCTAATAAGGCAATTTCCACATAAGTTATAGAGTATAAAAAAGCAGAATAAAATAATGTACAGAAGAAAAATGGAAACATACTGTCTGAGAACTCAAGTGTAAGCTCAGACAGCTTTCCTCTCTCCCCAGTCTATATTACATTCTCAAACAGAACCAACTAAATATCAGATACACTCTAAAATTATTTGAAAGCTGAGAGCAGCATTTGTTTTACAGACAACTAGTAAAGAACAGATGTGATTCCTACCTTTAACTTTAATAAATGTGCCCTACTGGTATGTGTAAGTGCAGCGTACATAAAAGACAGATAACATTTTAAGAGTCATCTGATTTTGAGAAATACGTTACCTGTGCTGCCTTGAAAGTTATGAGCCTGAAAAAATATTTTCTCTCTTTATTGATATCTCTTACAAAAACCAGAACTTATAATCTTCAGAAGCCGGAGTGTTAACAAGTTAAACAAAGGCTTAGAAGTAGATCTTAAATACTTATACAACGAAGCTCCTAGAGGAGATTCCCACTGACACAACTTCTCATGGAATATGAAGAACCTTCAAGATACAATGAAGGCTCCTTCTGATAACTACTGAGCTTCCTCTACCATCTATTCACACTATAGACACACGTGTAGTTCTTACAGCAACCTCAAAGTTTCAATCTAGAAACCCAAACAGCACATAGTACTTCTCACTATTTTTGTGCTGAGATTTTCTAACCTTGCTATAATTCAGATCCAACCCAACACAGTGAATAAAAGATAAGAGGACAGGTGCCTGCCTTAAACGTGAAACTGAATTGAAGTTGTAATTCAAATTCCTAAATCTGATCTGCCTCCTATTTATTACACTGTGCATAACGTAACATTTACGCTTTAACCACAATTCACTACATATTAAATCAGAAAGGAACCTCAGCTATAAGCATGCAGTTAAGACCTTGCTGTAACTGATTCTCAAGTTCTTCAATCCGCTCTTCATATTCACTCAGCTCTTCTCGATGTCGACGACTTATCTCTATTAACTTTTGTCTGTGTGCATCTTGCAACACCGAAAGTTCATGTTGATGTTCATCTATTTCTTGACTTAAGTTCTGTTTGAGCTCCTAAAAACATTGTTAGAGAAACAGAATGGTAAAGTACAGCACAGAGACTTAAGAAAGAACACAAAAGAAACAACATTTTTCCTTCTTAAAATCAAAGGATTTATTAAAGAAAAGTCAGAGTTCTTTTTTTACCATTTAAAAAAACATTCCCTTGAATATACAGATTTACACAGACAGTATGCTATACAAATAATAAAAATACAAAAAAAAAACACATTTAATAGTAGAGTGAATAAAGATTACAACTGTTTCCAAAGGAAGTGGTTATATTAGGATATTTCTAATAACTTTCAGGAATTCATCTGAATTTGTATCATGCACTTTCAATGAAAAAAAAGGGCAAGATGAGAACAGAAAAAAACCCCTTACTTTGCAGATCTAAATTCATTCTTAAGTCTACAACAGCTTCTGAAAGTGATTTGTCCTCATAAATGCTGATGGCATTCTTTTAAGCTTAGGAGCTAAGTTTATCAAATTACAGAAACACCCCCACATTCTCAGAATGCTAGGCTGTTCTGAAATCTAGCACATTACATTCAATAGCACATACAATTACATTACTTGTCCAGGTGCATTTAACATTATTCACATCATGTGACAATATACAAAACCATGAAGAATAAAGTACAAGCTAGGACAAGTTTGTCAAAGTTGTCATCTTACCTTAATGATATTTTGCAGTTTGCATATTTCGCTTTGTTCAGCATCATTTGCTCCTTGCACTTTGGAAGACTGAAAAAAGAAATGTCACACCTCCAAGTGGAAATTGTGATAAATACATACATTTTTCAAATAACTGTTTCCTTTTTTTTTGGCAATCAAAGGTAGAAAACAACAAAGGTAGCATGAAGCTTCTAATCTTCAAATTTAGAGTCATTTCCCTGGGAAGAAGGGTATTTTAATTAAAAAAAAAACAACCTTCAATTCTCCACTGATTTTTTTTGCTTTTTTTTTTACATGCAAACGTGTAACAGCGGGAGGGGGGGACATTATTGCACCTGGTAAAGAAACAGGGTTGCCCAATTTTACTTCAGTATTTCCATATAAAGAAAGAAATATCTCTGAAATTGGGCTACAGCTTGAGGAATGACAACTCATGCCAACAACAGCCTGAAAGACTATGTTCTTTCTTGTCTCAGCAGATCATAAATTACAACTGACATACCAAGTACTAGCAGAACAATAGGTGAAAACAGTACACAATATCCCAATATCACTTTTGATAGTATTTTGTTGTCAGAAAGTAGTGTAGACTAAAACATCATTAAGCTGCACCTTCCATCACATCATGTAAAATTCGTAGAAATAACAACATGAATATTAAAGATCCGTTCCAAAAATAGCCAGTATGATGCAAACAGTATTTTGGAGGGGAGACAGAAGAGAAATCACTTACTTGTGCAATCTGCTTCCAGTGGTCAACCTCAGACTCAAGTCTAGAAACTTCATTGGACAATCTGTTTATTTCTTGTTGAGACCAGATTATATCCCCAAAATCCATGTCATCGCCTTCAAAACCTGAGGAATGTCTAACCACAGGAGCAAAGGAGGCTGATGTAGTGGCTGGTTGTGAAACACCACCTCCTAACTGTGCTGACTGAGCAGCGGTCTGAAGTTTCTGCAACTGCTCCTGTAAAGCATTCTGTCGAGCTTTTAGATGGCTGATTTCCACCTGAACATATAGAATATAAGGCACCGTTTCAGTAAGACTATCAAAATATGCTCTATTTGTACTTTCACAAAAGAACAATGAAATACAACTCCCTCCCAGCATAAAACAGTGGTCATTTCCACTAGAAAGTAAAGAATAAAAATTCTAAACACTTCTGAATGAGAAAAGCAGTCACAGTTACAAGGAATCTCAAGAGTTAATTCAGATATGAAAATTAAACAACATATGATGCTCCTCCAGTTACTGACTCAAGATAATGTGGTAACATTTATTTTATTCTGAGCATTTCAGTGTATTGCAAATGTGCTTACTTACAACAAACTAAAATTAACTCCCTGCCATATTTACATAAGAATTCTATTATTATAGTTAAAGAGCAGAATATTATATATCTCAAAATTCTGTTTCATCTTGTTCATCCATGTATTTACAAATAAAGCTGACATAAAGTTCATTTTGCAAAATATTCTAGGCACACTTGCACCCTTCTTCATTTACACAGCTATGAAAGCCCATGTTACAGAGCGGGCGATGAAACTGGAATGTTTATATCAAAGGGACACTTTCTCAAATTAGGAAAGGTAGCTCTGTTTCTTTCCTTTAATTTTACACTTTAAGATAAACAACTGCGAAATCCACAGACTATTTATCTGAGAGTTTGTTGACACTGCACCTTCAGAAGGTAACTGAACTAGAAATACAGAGCAGTTAGTGTATCATTTCTCAGTGATCACAGAAATTCTGATACACAGATGGTGCTCCCAGAGCTTTCTCTTTTCTCTCCCAGCTGCTGGCAGCTCTGTTAATATTATGCAACCCAATTAAATTCATGTTTTAGTCAGTTTCTATATTCACGAACAACCAAACCGTAACACTAATTCAGAACTGTGACTAATAGTTCTCCTGAAAGGGCACAGATACTGTAACTAAACAACAACCAAAGCAATACAACACACTGTAGTTGTACTTACATCATTTACTTTGTATCATACCTCTTTCTGTTGCAGCTGATTTCGGTACTCCACAGATAACTGTTTTATTTGAAGCTCTGCTGCTTCATGCTTTTCCTCTAAGTCACTACAAACTTTTTTCAGCCTCTCGTTCTAGGAAAAATGAGAAATGGGTATTAGCAAATTCTGAACACAGAACCATAGAATCACTCAGGTTGGAAAAGACCTTAAAGATCATCGAGTCCAACCGTGACCTAACCATGCTACCCTAAGTCTAACAACCCTCTGCTAAATCATGTCCCTGAGCACTACATCCAAACTGTTCTTATGGAACTAGAAAAACGTAAGCTTGATGAAGACTTAAAAAAAAAACAAAAACAAAAAGCAACCAACCCCAAATGATAATCATCTAAACAGAACAGGCATTTTGCATTATTTCACTCCAAATACACAGTAACTATAACTTCCAAGTGTGGCCCCAAAACTCAAGATCACACCCAATCTTTCCACTTTTATATAGTGTGGTAGTTTGTGGTGATCAGAGATAAAGGCCAAGAAGAAAAATTCAAAGCTGAGTTACATGTGGAACTTAAAAATAGCCACGCAGCATAAACTGGGGCCAATATTCCTAACAGCCCAGTATTTCAACATTGGTCAACAACCGTCACCAACCATCATAAAAAAGAAGCAGGAACTGTCATCTCTCCAAAACACTATCTAAGTGTTGAGTGTTCTTGAGAGCAGATGACATACATGAAGGTGGTTGGTTTACAGACATAAAGTCACAAGACCAACAACAGGATTGTGAGAAACAGCGGAAGAGCACAAGCATCTGTAGCTATGTCAAAAGGAGCATGAAGTGGGGAGACAGAAGGAGAACTGCACCAGTTGAGACAGACACTGACCCAACTTCAATGCCTGTAGCAAACGACACGCTGTCGTGTGTGGTTGGGCATTGCACATTTAGAGTCACATTTACAAAACGCTATAAAACAATTAAGTCTTTGCCAGCCAAAATTTAACAAAACTTAACAAGAACTGTGCATTTGCAAGCTCTTTACAACCAATCTACTGTAGCAGCGCAAGTTCTCAAATCAGTAGGAACAGCTGCACTAGTTAGCACAAGATGAAAACATGCACCACAAACACTGGTAAATAAATTTGCCCCCTAACCATGATGGCAGCTAGTCACCAAAGGAAAGTGGCACAATCTAATACTACTGTTATCCTTGTTTCTAGATTTTCACAAGGCTGAAGAACTCTGATGCAAAATTTCATCTTTACCAGAAACAATTTTTATTTATATTTTCAATTACAGTAATGTTCTGAAATCTCTTACTTCAGACTTCTGTGCTGCATTAATACTTTCTATTTCTCTGAATCTGGAATTGGACACGTGTAGCTCTGTTGCTGCATCTGAAAGAAAGGTGAAAATGTTCAGTTTTATTAACTTACAAAACACTGAGCAAACACTGCTTAAAACCACACTTATTACTAAGTATCTTTTCTTTAGACTGCTTTAACATTTGTTAGCACCTAAATATGAGAAGTTACCTTTATCAGAACGCTATTGAAAATATTTTTCAGGCCAGAATTCTTCTGGACTTAATTTAGTTCTCTCCTATCAATTCTTTAAGTCAAATCACAAAACTAATGGAAAAGCATGAAATTAAGCTTAAAAATAAGTGTAACAGTAGTTTTCACTGGGCTGTTACGTGTCACTGAGTCAGTTCTTCATTTAGGACTTTGTCCTTGACATAACTGTTGCATGTGATTATTTCTCAATAATTTCATGTGAAGGTTCAGAACAAGGATTAGCTCCCTAAAATACATACAGTGGTGACTAAATTTAGTCAGGAAAACAAACAAAAACCAACAGCTAAAAAACCCATACAACAGAACACCAACCTGTCCCTTATGCCAGGGGACACAAACCCTTTAAGACTTGTCTTATTTGTCATTTACATGTTGTTTTTTGTTGTCATTTACAAAGGCAATGCAGTTCGACCACACAAAAAAAGTGCATTGTTCTCCCCTTGGCTCTTCTTTATTTAAAAGTCAATTTTCCTTAAATAACCTACATTTACTTCTCCCTTCTCCCAGGTTTAGTGGGTATAAATAGAACACTTCCTTTTATTAACGAGGAATCACAATTAATGGGCTAGAATGCAACCTCCACATTTTTTCAAAACTTGAAATAAACACAAATGTGCACCTAAATGCTGTATTTTATAGTTTCCTATACATTGTCTAAAACCAATGTTGCTTGAGTGCTGCAGGAGCTGCAATACAGCCATTAAACTGAAGATGTTATCATCTGTAATCCATCAACAGCATCACGCGTTAGGCCAGCAGTCAAAACAGCGAACATTAAAAGACAGGGTAAGAGAACCACAGAATTATTAAGATTGGAAACAGCGAACATTAAAAGACAGGGTAAGAGAACCACAGAATTATTAAGATTGGAAAGACCACTAAGATCAACAAGTCCAAACACCAGCCCATACCTGAGACTGCTCTAGACCCCATCACTCAGTGTGATATCCAACACTTTTCTTGAACACCTCCAGGGATGGTGACACCTCCATTCTTTGGGCAGTCTGTGCCAGTGCCTCATTGGAAGGAAAGGAACTGCTCTAAAAGCATTTTTAAGGCCACATGATACGTGCAGGCCTTTAGGGATCAGAGCACTTAGATGATGTTGGATTTTCACACCCCAGGTCAGTAAGCATAAGATCCCATACAAATGCACTGCTCCAAAACTGGTAGGAATTGAAAGCTGTTCCTAGCAATGCTAGCACTCAGGTACAACTGGAAGCAACTGCTAATCATCAGCTCTCTTTCACACAAACCAAAGCACAAACCTGTGAAGCAGTATCACTATTTATACTCTACTATAGCCAAGAAACCCAGCAGAAGACTGCACAACTTGGAAGCACAAGGTAAGTTTCCAAATGAAGCCAATACAGAATTTAGGATATAAAATAATTCAAGAGCATATCCTTCAGAAAAGTGAGGAAAAGATTTCTTCTCAGAATAAAGATCTCTCTTGCGAGCATTTTACCCACACACCAAAAGCCCCATCTGCATCACAGTTCCAGCGTGAGCTTGCTAACACAATTTACACAACATATTTGCAGTGTTTCACAGCTGCAAATAAGCCACGGTAGTTGAAATCCACACTCTGTAGAGAGAAGCACGAGCAGCTCTGCGTGATTGCTATTCTTTATGCCCACTGCAGAATACTCTCAGCCCTGCCGAAAGATCTGCAACAAAACCAAGAGGGGACCGCGGTCTGAGTGACACGTCAGACCGATAGCACCGCTGCACTGCAGCCGTATGAGGTCACTGCAAAAGCAGCTCATCAAACCGGGTCTGACACAAACGAGGCCCACGCAAAGAAAGAAGAACGTCGTGTACTTCCACGACGGACAACCCAACACTTCACTCTATACAGAAACTACAGAGTAACCAATACAGCGCTGGCTGGCCTCTCCTACGGCAGCCTGGGAACGCGTTTGTTTATTCTCCCGATCCTGAGGCCAGAAAAAAACGCAGACCAAAGCGGACAGGGGCGGTAGCTCCAGATAGCCCAGCACCGACCTCCCTCCCCCGACTGCCGGACGGGCCCGCGCCGCAGCCCCTCTTACCGCCCACTTCCTCCGCGCCCTCCAGCAGGATATCCTTGGTGAAGCTGGAGATCTGCCCGGTGAGCGAGGACAGGCTGCCCCCCACCTGCCCCAGGGACTGGCCGAGCCCCGAGCCCAGCCCGCCCAGCCACGACGCCATGGTTCGGCCGGCCGCAGGCCTCCGCACTCAGCAGCTCCCGGCTCCGCGCCTGGCAGCACCGGCTTGGCGAAGGGGGTGGCCGCCTCCGCTCTTCTCCTCGCCGGGGAGATCGAAGCTCTTACGCGGGCTCAGCAGAACGCTCCCGGAGAGCCCTTCGCCGGCGCCGTGCGCATCCCCGGGCTCAGCGGCTCCGCCCGGCAGCGCCGGCCGCTGCCACCTCAACGGCCGCCATGACACCGCCTGCCGGAGTACCATCGACAGCGGCCGCGGACGGCTAGAGCGCCCCGCGGCGGCCGGAGGGCAGCGGAGGATGCCGGGATCGTGGCGGAGGCGCGGGGGGCGGTCTGGCGGAACCGACGAAGGTGGCGCCCGTTGGCAGGGCCGCCTCGCACAGCGCGTTCCCGTGTCTTCACTGCTCCTCCTGAGAATCTTTTGCAGCCGTATCTATTTGTGTCTATTTAGACACTATTGTGAAAATAGCAAACAGCGCTGCTGCCATTTTCCATTCAAAACAATGACAAAGGTGGTTTTTTTTAAACCTTTTCAGCATTGTATACTTTATATACACAAAAACGGTGGAGCAATCTAATGCCAAAGATCTCATACTGAAAGTAGAGATGAAAACTTATTACTGAAAATTATTGCTAAAATATGCAACTATTTGACAAAAGGAAAGAAAATATGCCCATAGGAAGCTCTACATGCAAGGTTTCTCACAGTAACATAACATTTTTCAAAGCTTGTATATTTTAAAGACAATCAAAGCTCTCCTGCTTTCTTGGACAGTTTTGTCTCAGTATTACACCCCTCTCCATTCAAACCCTTTTAAGTTCCCCCCCCCCCGAATTTACACGGTGCCGGTACTAGGTGCAAAACAAACCATAAATGCAATGATAATTGCATTTCTCTTGAAATAAATAATGGAAAAGCACTTTGATTTTGTGAAAGTAGGCGCAAAGATGCACGCGTTTAAACGCTTTCTGAAGAATGAGAACTGAGGAAGGAGCACAGGTTGAATACCAAGAAGTTCTTTAATGCCAGAAATGCAGGCAAGGCACAAAGTACGTAAGCAGGTAAAAAAAAATAAATAAATAAAATTAAAAAAAATTGTAAAATAGTTCATGCTTCCACAACAGCCTGGATACAATACAAGAATGCTACTCATTCCTGTATTGTAAATAATGAATATTTGGACCTTACAAAATATTGGTCTTAACTTGAACAGCTGGTGATGTAGGTGCATGCGTAAGTCTGTCAGACCTTTCTTTTTAAATGATTTATCAACACCTGAAGATTTCTCAAGAGTTTGGCTTGTTCAACATAAGATAGTAGCAGCTTATAAAATTAATTTGCTCATTTTCTATCTATGCCATTAAAAATATTTCCAGTTACATTTTTTCTTTTCTTGGATGTTTTAAAATGTTTTATTTCTTTAAAGCCAACTTTTAAAGTTGGTAATAAGAATTGTACAGCTATACGTCTTGTAAATATGAGTTCTGGTGCTCCCAAACCTAATTCTTCATAACATTCATCAGTGAAAAACCCCATCTGTTCACTTTTATCCCTATGTTTGAAAGTTACTAAATTCTAGAAAAATTCTCATTCTGCCTGGAATAACTTCAAAACTCTGTTGTTCATTTTTTGAAAGCCGAATTGTCAGCTTTATAATATTATGAATTGTCAGTTTTATAATAAAACAAAGCAGCTTGCAGACAACAGTATTTGTCCAAGATAGGGAAACAGAACCACTTACTTGTGTGGGTGCTATTTTAAGCATAGTTCTTATCTCTACTGCCCACCCTTTTATAGATTCATAATAGCTGCAATCGTCCAATATTAGAATCCACTGGAGATTTAATATTGTAACGGTGCTTAGTACTCCAGGTGAGAAATTTATAGGCACCTTATAGTGTGAATTCTGCAAAGTAATCGCATATGAAAAAAAATAAACATTAACTCTAGCTGAAAATTACATTTAGACCCACTGCTCATGGTTTTTTTGAAGTTTGAATAGTGCAGAGAGCCCAAAGGTAGGAGGAATAAACCAGTATTCTATCAGATTAGCTCCAAGGCCAGAAAATTTTGTAAATACAAATTCATATCCTTAATACCATGCCTAACAACAACTGCATTCAAGCACAATTGTATTACTTCTTCATCCTGTCCTCATTACAAAATCATGAGAACGGTTTACAGTATTATACTTACAGACTTATTTTGGAAGCCACCTAACAGAAGTATCACTCATTCCCCTACCACTTTGATTTCTATAAGAAGAACACAAATTGTGTCAGATGGATTGTGAGGAAAATAGTAAACATCTGTCACATGAATGAAGCCTGAATTCCCCTTAAATATCTTATTGCAATTAAAATAAATAAATAAAGGTATGCTCTTTAACATCAGACTTTGGCTTATAGCTATGTGGAAAAAAGAAAAAAAAAACTTTTTCAGTTTCACTAGGAATAGGTTCCGAATTAGTAAATGCCACATTTATCAGTACAGTTCAAACACAGTGAGAAGTGTTTATCGTTAAAAGAATGCACACAGAGAAAACAAGATCAGCTTTTTATTGACAATTTGGCAGGTCCACACATTTTGAACTTTAGAACTGGGTCAAAAAAATAGGTTCTGTCAAGAATTAGTCTTTTGTGTTGGTGCAATTAGCACACTTAGCTTTAACTGTTACCTCTGAATTGCTTGACTTGGCAGTTAAGCATACTTCACCAAACTTAACACTCCTCTGAATGCCAAACTGATATTTGTAGAGTGATGCTGTTTCTACACAGAAAGAAACATGGTTAGCCCTGTAATCTGACTCACACATTTGTGCTTTTCAGGCACAGTTACTTTACAAGCGTCGCAGGTTAAAACACTTGGGTAGAGAAACTTAAAAAACAACATGAAAGTTCAAATGCAAACCTCCACACTTTACAAAAAGTGATTACAAAAAGCATGTACCAGAGGTCAGTACTGGGGCCCATCCTATTTAATATCTTTACTGATAATTTGGATGAGGGAACTGAGTGCACCATCAGTATGTTTGTAGATGGCACCAAGTTAGGGGTAAGAACTAACTACTTGAGAATAGAAAGGCTCTACAGAGGGACCTGAACAGGCTGGATAGCTGGGCTGAGACCAATGGGATGATGTTCAACAAGCCTAAGTGCTGAGTCCTGCACTTTGGTCACAACACCCCCATGCAACACTATAGGCTGGAAAGCTGCACAGCGGAAAAGGATCTGGAGGTGTTGGTTGACACTCAGCTAAGCATAAGCCAGCAGTGTGCTCAAGCAGTGAAGAAAGCCAAGGGCATCCCAGCTTGCATGAGAAATAATACAGCCAGGAGAAGCAGGGAGGTGATCCTCCCTCTTTTCAACTCCAATGCAACTCCATTGAGTATTCAACTCCAGCAAGGCTGCATCTCAAGTACTGCGTTCAGTTTTGGGCCGCTCACTACAAGACAGACAGTTGGGGCCCTAAAATACATCCAGAGAAGCAAGTAAGGAGTCTGGAACACAAATCTTATGAAATAGCTAAGGGAAGTGGGATTGTTTAGCCTAGAGGAGGCTCAGGAGACACCTTATAGCACTCTGCAACTGCCTGAAAGGAGGTTGTGGATCAGGCTCTTCTCCTAGGTAACAGGGACAGGATGACAGGAAAAACCTCAAGGTGCTCCAGGGGAGGGTCAGATTAGATAGCAAAGAATTTATTCTCAGAAAGAGTGGTGAGATATTCAAACAGGTTACTCAGGGAAGTTGTGGAGTCACTGTCCCTGAAGGTGTTAAGAGAAAGGGTAGATGTAATACTGAGGGACATGGTTTAGAGGGCAATATTGGTGGTAGGTGGATGGACTAGATGTTCCTAGAAGACTTTTACAAGCTTTATGATTCTATGATGTAATTGTCACAGGTTAGTTAATGCAATTCAAGGGAATTTTTTTTTTTTTAATTTTTAAATATAGGACCACTATACTATGTAGCTAAAGAAATGGTATTTTTATGATATTCTTGTAACAGAAGATAAAAGGTTCAAGTTCTAGTATCAAGTAAGTATTAACAAGCTCTGCCAGCCTACACCTATTTATTAAAAGGAGAGAGATTTCAGGATCAGTTTATGGCACAACAAAGGAAGGGAAGTTAAAGTCGTGGATAATTTGCAAACAAGCAAAGAGGTAACTCACTGCTTTACATACTCCTCTTCTGTTTTCAGTTTCATATAAATTTCAATCAAATCTACCTCCTGAAAAATATAGCATTTCAAAATGGCATTTGCACACATGTGACTTCTCAATGCCATTAATTGGCTGTATTACTTCAGCACGTTATAGAGATTACATGTGCAGAATAGGATTATATACAAAACAAAATCTTAAATTTTTAAAAAGTAGTGCTGTCATGTCAAAATTCACATCATACTACACATCCCAGCAGTGGAAATTCAGGAAAACAGAATTCACTCTATATGTATAATATAATATTCTAACCTATCAAGAAAAACCATTGCTGTAAACAAATATTTACTGGGAGGTAAGAGCCCTTTCAAGTAAGTACTACTTGATGCTGAATGCATACTTCCATTTAACTACCATTAAGTTCTTATACTAATTTTATATGTCACTATTGTGCAATGATACTACATTAGGATATTTTGATATAGAAATTTGGGTTTATTTGCAAAAGATATTCTTAGAATGCCTATGCTGTTAATGCATTGAATACAGCTTGCATACTGTATCTATAACATATTTCCACATAATTTATATGTAAACAGAATTTGTATTTCAAGCACCATTTAGTAAAATGAAACATCAATTTCTGCACTAAGTTGGAAGTCAAGTTCGTTCACCCTATCACACATTCATCCTGGGTATCAAAACAAATGTGCTACAACGAATAGAATAATCTCTCTCCCATCCTTTGCTCCCTGTTTTGTGGGTTTTTTTTGTTGGTTTTTTTTTTGTTTTTTTTTTTCCTCAGCATCAGAAACAGCATGATAAAAACTTTAAGGTGCATGAGTAAAGGCCATTCCTGAAAAAGCTACAACATTCTGATCGACAGTCAAAAAGCATTTCAGAAAGAGCACCCACACAGACATAAATATTCATTCTTAGAAGAGCTACTTGCACAGAGGTCATTGTAGACTGCAGGAATGCAACTTATGTGGCATTGATTTTATGGCACCCAGATCTTCCCCATTTTCCTTTCTCCTAGACTCAGTTACAGCTCTATGATACTAAAAGGCCAGAA